TCTCTCCCTGTTGCTACAGATGCTGCCCATGAAGCCCCTGATTTGCAGGGCATTTGTCCTGTCGCTAGTAGCTAGATTGGTTTGCTTTTACAATGTGCAAAGGGAAACAATGCCATTCCTTAATGTGTCTCTGAAGTTCCAGATTTTCCAGCTGCTCCACTTCAACGTGATGTTCAGTCTCCCGTTTAGTTGACTCATTTCCTATGTACAATTGTTTTTTCTCCCACAGAAGATGGAAGAATGAGGCTCACCTGATGCTCGTTGCCATGGGACACCTCAGAGAGAGTGGAGGGAAAATGTGTGAGAAATAAATTCTCCTAAATACTCGGATTCCCGGCTCTGCTGTGTTTATTATCATGGTCCATTCCTCTTCCATGAAGCTGATATTTAGATTCTTGCTGCTCTATTGTAAATATTAAAAAAGGGATGTGAAAGTGGAGGATCTTTGCTCCAAGTAGAAAACATGGAAATTCAAACCATGGCCAGGTAAATCACTAGCTTCCACAAACATTTAAAAATAAAGACCCTATGTCACTCTACATCTCTCAGAATAGCTATCATCAGAAAACGAAAGATAAGTGTTTTTTATCTTCTCAAGATCATACAATCACCATCACCACCATCATCATCACCATCACCATCTTCTCAAGATCACCATTACCACCATCACCATCATCATCACCACTACCATCATCACCATCATCATCATCACCACCACCATCACCTTCTCAAGATCATACCATCATCATCATCACTACCATCACCATCATCATCACCATCACCATCTTCTCAAGATCACCATCACCACCATCACCATCGTCATCATCACCATCACTATCCTCTCAAGAGCACCATCATCACCATCATCATCACCACCACTACCACCTCAAGATCACCGTCATCATCACCACCACCATCTTCTCAAGATCACCATCATCACCATCACCATCATCACCACCACCACCACCTTCTCAAGATCACCATCACCATCATCATTGCTGAAAGAATCAATTGAAATGATCTTTTCAATTGCCTCATCTTCACAGTCAAAAAAATCCAAGGTCAGGAGGGAGAATATTATTATTTCAAACACACAGAACAACACTGTATGATGCTAAGTAGTCACACGCCCATTTTTCTCTTTTCCATTCCATCCTCCCAACAAGCCTATTAGAAGACCAAGCAGGTATAATACCCTCATTTTCTGGAGGTGATGCAGACAAGTTATGACTTGCCCAGTGTTTGAGGAGGAGACGAGATTGCAGCTCTTCCGTCTCACATTGGTGGGTTTTCCCTCAGCAAGGACAGGTGGCCAGGATCCTGGGTCCCAACCTGTCAGGGTCCCAATTCTGCTACCACTCACTAGCTTTGAGAACCTGGGCAAGTTACTTCATGACTTTAAGCCTCTGTTTCCCCAGATGTAAAATAGAGTGTAACAGTTTATAGGGTTGTTTTAGGAAGTAAATAAGAATATGCAAGAAGCACAGGTGGTCTAGAGTGGGGCACACAGTAAGCACTCTGATAACCCATTATCCTGATGCAGAGGGTTGAGACCTGGCCCCAGGAGGTAGGTGGAGTACAAGACAGGGATTCAGTTGGACAACAGTCTTGAGGTTTTGGCCGTGTCTCTAAGGGGTTTTCTCTGGTTTGAGAAGTTAACACACGGAGTTGGGGGTCATTTTTTAAATCCTGTGGATTCACTTCTCCCTGACACACCAACAAAACAAAATCTGAATTCCATCTTCTCAAGAACTCTCAGTTCAGTGGGGGCTCTATAGGATTAAGATACCTCCAAGGAGCTGTGCACTTACCTGGCTCCCATATCCCAGCTCCTGACCCCCGGATTTATGAGTCAGAAGAGAAAGAATATTCCTATATCCTTCACAGTACATAACAGCGTCTTATACTTAATCAGAACTCTGATTATTGAAGGAATGAATTAGTGAATGAATAAGAGAGACACCAGTTACTCCCTGATGGTAAGTAACTAAAGATAAACATCTTTTTTCTTTTCTGGGGACTAGACGAAAGAGAAGAGAGTGAAGCTGAGGTTTGTGTGCTGAGTTTTCTTTCCCAGCATGTATATGTCAAATTTCATCTGGCAGCAGGAAACCAGTCTTAAGCCCTCAGGCTGAGCTGGGTACCTCTGGACCCTCCTACTCTCTTGCAAAATTGAAAAGGAGGTAGAGGGGACCTTGCCTTGGGTCTTCCACACCATAAGACAGGGAGTGCACAGAACTAGAACAAAAGCAAGAAAGCTTGGGCTCCTATCAATACTTTCCAGAGGGCCTTGGGCAAGTCAAGAAATGTTCCCGAGCCTCAACATGGGGCTAAAAGTCCTGGCATTACCAACCTACAGGATGCAGTTGTTAAAAGGTTCCCATGCAATGCACAAAAACGTTTCCTCAACTATGCAGCATTGCCCAAATTGAAGATGGCATTGTTACTTCTATTTTACTAACAATAATGAAAATAATAATGCTGTTATTGTTGTTATTCAGGAGTAAAACCCAGCCTCCAAACCTGAACTTTCAGCTCTAGGGAGTTGGAGAGCAGTACCTACCCTGGCCCAATGCCCCCTTCGAAACAGAGCTTTGCTGCCACCTCCTGGCCGTGGAAAGGCATGCTTTTCATTATACAAATGACCTAGAGATGAAACTCATAACATCTTGGATTAGCTATTCAGAGTCAGAGGTGTCACTGGGAATCATGTTCATCTGGAACAGCCCACTGGTTTTGCAAATGACAGAAATCCAGGTTAGTAATAGGATCTGGTAACCCCTCAAGATATAGCATCAGAATCATATATCCCAGGTCTTTTGGCTCCCAGACCAGGACTTCCCCAACTGAGTATCCACAGAAAAGGACCTTACAGAATCTTGAGATGGAGGGCTAAGACTCACTGGACAGGCAAAGAGTGGTCCCTAGTGATGGCCTTGGCAGTAAAGAGTATGACATGGCCAAGGGGTCTCTCCCCAAACCTCATGCTCCTCATCCTAGAAGACTCTGCCAGGCTGGAAGAGAAGTGTTGGTCTCAGGGGAGAAGCAGTACACCTACACAAATAGCCTCCTGCCCTTGACAGGAACAGGTGACCAGACCCTAAACGTTTCTGGGATGAAGGTGGCCCATAGCAATTCCAAAAGCGAGGTTCCCTGGCCCTTTCTCTAGCCCAACACAGGACAGGATGTGCACTCCACGACAGGATACTCAAGGTGCCATTTGACCCTTGAAACCCTTTCCACCTTTCTCCAACATGCTCAAGGCCCCCAAGAGGTTGACATCAGTGGGATCCCTTGCCCTGGCCTTTGGGTGGGCCTAGCCAAAGAGGAGCTGGGATAGAAGAGCAGAGGGAAGGACATTGAGAGCAGTATTTATTCCCCGTCTCTCCCTGTAGTCCAAAATCCCATTCCATGTCAGGTATCCCAGCCCCCCAACCCTTCTGTCTCCAGGTTCTGATAACCAAGTCCCTCTTACCCCCAGCTTGTACCTCCTTGCAGGCCTAGGGAAGGTAATGAAGCCCTGTTAATAGACCTGGAATTCTACTCTATCTCTGTGGTTTTTCTATACCTGCCCATACCTTTGTAGAGAGTCTGTTCCTCAAACAGTCCTCATATTATGCTAAATTGGATGTTGACATGGTTTGGATTTGTGTCCCCGCCCAAATCTCATGTCAAATTGTAATCGCCAGTGTTGGAGGCGGGGCCTAATGGGAGGTGATTGGATCATGGAGGTGGATTTTCCCCCCTTGCTGTTCTTGTGATAGTGAGTTCTCAAGAGATCTGGTTGTTTAAAAATGTGTAGCACCTCCCACTCCTCTCTTTTCCTCCTGCTCCAGTCGCGTAAGACATTGCCTGCTTCCCCTTGCCTTCTGCCATGATTGTAAGTTTCCTGAGGCTTCCCCAGACCCTGTACAGCCCGTAGAAACATGAACTAACTAAACCTCTTTATAAATTACCTTGTCTCAGGTAGTTCTTTGTAACAGTGGGGGAACAGACTAATACAGATGTGCTATCTGTTTTCCACAGGTTCAACTTGCCTGATACAGGACTCCTGCCCTGCCCCTCTATTTTACTGCTTTATAGCCCCTTCTACAGAGCAGGACCAGCTGACCATGCAAGGTAAGAGTGCTACCTCACAGCTATTTGTGAATACCTTCAGGTCATAAATTCCATTCAGTAGACAGTGATGTATTCAGTTTCATTGCACACTTCAACTTGGCACTGACCTTCACCAAAATCAAGCTTTTAAGATTGCTTTCAGGTCTCTTTTTTTTTTTTTTTTTTTTTTTGA